CCCCCAAAACCCCAAAACCCCAAAACCCCGGGTTGGGGGTTAGAAATTGAAAAAGTTAAAGCAGCATGTTTTTGGTTTGGTTAGATTTGGGTCTTGGAGTGTTGTGGGGGTTCTTTTTGGAGGTAATCCGAATTTAGCAGTGTCTCTTCGAGCGAGTTTGTGTCTGAGACTACGATTGAGGTACTGTTCTTTAAATATGCATGACTCTTTTCCTTCATCGGGATGAAAATCTTGGCTCTGGATATTTCATTCTATTAATTAATTGTTTGAAAAATTCAGACTTGTCAGTAAAGATTGAGTAATATAGAAAAGTTAGTCGTAATTTCAAACCAGAGTGAAAATTTTCTTAATTTAATTAGTCTAGTGAATGTATTTATTACTTCACTATGGCTTAAGAGAGGCTAAACAGCAAGGCTTAGTGCCTACAGATACAGTTCTGAGTTAGGATCAAACCTTGGTCTGTGTATACAATAAGATTTAGGTAAGAAATAAAGAGCTAGATATTTCTTCATGAGTATTGCCTTGGCATAACGAATGATTATTCCACAAGAAAGTAATATCTTTAACAGCTGTGGTTTAGAACTCATGTGCAAACTTACCTTGTTTAACTTCACATTGAGAAGATCCATTTGTCTGGTCGCTTTCAATTAGTGGATTTTTAAGATCCTTGGATTCATTTTTTAACTTCATTTTATACCCACTCATATCAACTTTCTTATACTTCCTTTTCAAAATAGTCAGCTCCTTGAAGTCTCTCATACGTCCAAAATCAGCACTCTGTTTGCCATATCTCCTCCTATCACCATCTACTCCTATAACCCAAATGAAACTTTTCAGCCACAAATCCACTCAAAAATCCTCAAACTTCATCACCTCCCAAATCTCCCTCGACCCACTCCCCAATTCCTTACCCTCCCCTTCCACTCCCCTTCCACTCCCTCTGCTCTTCTGCCAGCTTCCACTTTCTTTATGGTGACCAGCTCCAGCAGCTACAGCCTGCTGCGCAGCTGTAAAATCTGGAGCTCATCTACAAGCAGTAAGGAAGAAGGCAGGCACAGCTGTGAGGAGGTATTGGTGGGTGGTGAGGGGGTGCTAAGGGGGTGCTAAAGGGACTGGGGTAGTGAATGTGGGTGGATACTTACTTTGTGTTTGGGGGTTCATCAAAATGAAGTTTGTATTAAAATTTTATATGGAGTATTAAAAAGTTTGTTAATTTATATCAGAGTATATTTCAATCTGAGAAGAAACCTTCGGGGTTTTGGGGTTTTGGGGTTTTGGGG